CAACAGACTCACACACACACACATACACACGTAGAGTGCCACAGCCTAGGACTTCATCTTCTCAAGATGGCCAGATCAGGGAGGCAGAGAAGAGGGTCATCAGAGTGGCAGTCAACCCTCAAAGGGAGAATCAAGCACAAGGATAATTTGGGGAATGGGCTACAATACAGTGGATGCCCCAATACAGGACACGTTGCCGGATTTTGGCCAGTGTGAGTCTCAATGAGCTGCCCTGACAGAAAGTTGGTGTCCCACTCCTGGGCAGCAGGGCCGGGTCCTCTTCCCCTCCTCCCGACTTCACAGCTCTGGTGCCACAGCTGGGAAATGGCTGGCTGGGTACATACAGGAAGACATTCTTCCTCACTTTTATTGACCTCCACTCAACAATTCAGGGCCAGAAGGGAGGCCAGTGTCCTCCAGATGACTGTGGCATGGGACTGTGCAACCCATGGTGCACAACACACAGAGGAACCAGGTTCCCTTTGCTCAGAACCGAAGCAGAACCCGCGTCCTCCTAGACACGACCCTCTCTTGCCCTGTGCCTGAAGGGCTGCTGCAGAGGCCGGTCTCCCCTGTGAAGGAAAGCAGCCGCCAGGAACCAAAATCCCCCTGCCAAGCCGGTCATCTGCTGGGCCAAAGGGCTTCCGGGCCTCACTTCCTGCTTATCCAGCTGCTGCTCTGAGGAAGTTTGCTGAAAGGAGGGGGTTGCACTCTTATTGATTGGCAGCCGTTCTTTTGCTGGAGAAGCAGGACAGTCGCTCTGGGAGAGCCAGCTTGGAGGTCAACCCCAGACCTCATCATTGGCAATGCAGCAATAGCTCTGTCCTCTTGGGCAGAGCTTCCTTGGTGGCTTTGGATTCTGGAGGACAGTCCACTTCTCAGCCACGGAAAGGCAGGCTCAGGGCCTGAACAGGCAGCTTGGTTCCAGACTTGGAGGGTACCTAAGTTTACTTTGGTCCCTTTGCTCTGAAGAACTGAAGGAAGAGGTTGCAGCTGTCACTCCCACCCCCCCACCCCCATTAAAGAAACCTTTGGTCAATGTACCAAGTGTGCTTTCATCACATAGTTGCCTACGAGATGTTCCCTGTTTATTTCAGTTTGCCCCTTAAGTTCCCTGATTAAATTACAGCAATGAAAACCCACACAACTCAGGCAAGAAGCACAAGAGTCGACATCAGTGTGGGAGAACACTATGCAGAGCCTACAAGTTCCTGGTGTAATGTGTTACACACAGAGGGACATTTCTGGGACCCAGTGATGAATTCTGGGCAGAGGCAAAGGAGAGGGCTTTCCTTGCTGCTGGGGTGGAGTGGGGCACTCCGCAAGTGGGGCATGGCTGCTGACAGCATCCGCTTTAATTAGGGGGGCACTAAAGAGGCTCCAGACAAGCAGATTTGAGCAACTCAATTCTTTTGATACCAACACCAACTGGAGAGGCTCCAAGAGATCATCCAGTCCAACCTTTTCTGCCCTTCTGATTGAGAATTCTTGGAGTTCTGATTCCATCTGGAGAGCACCAGGTTGGAGAAGGTCGATATAAACAACCATCCAGTTCTCTTCCCAGCATGATCTACCTGGTGTCCAGAAGTGCCAACTCCAGAGCCAGCCAAGCCAGGCGCTGCGCCGAAGAGCCTCATCGGGCCTCCGTGGGGAAGCGTTCCGCCCAGGTGCTGTTTGCAACAAAGCAGAGTCTTTGAATTGGGAAGCAGCGCCTCAGAAGCATAACTGCAAGACGAATGGACCAGCCGGACATTTGTGGGGACAGAGAGATGCAAACAGGAACTCCCTTAATTCTGGTGGTCCAGCAGGAGCAAGTGGTGACATCACCAGCAGCCAATCCTATGCCTCGAAGTCTATCCAGGGTTACCATAGCAACAGATGTGCCCTTCCAAGTTCTGTTCTGCTGGATCCTCTCTTGTGCAAACTGGAGACGGGTCAGGAAGCAGAGAAGGGCCTGGGCTACGCAGGCAAGGAGCAGCTGGACCCTGGAAGGCAGCCGTAAGGAGCCCGGCCTCTGTGGCTCAGCCGCAAAGAACCTGGTGCTGCAGCTTTTGCCCCCAGCTGTCCTCTGCTCTCGCCAAGGACAGCGGGTCACAGTCCCTCTGCGCTCTCATTGAGTCCGGTGGCTTCCCTCTTCCCTCTCCAGAGTCCAGTGTGCTGCACTCTCCTTTGCCAGCCGGTGTTGTGAATTTCCCCAGGGCATTTCTGTGCCTTGCTGCCTTCTGGGGCATCCTGCTGTTTCAAGAGAGGTGAGATGAGGCTTGGCACCACACCTGTACTTACCAGGAGAGGGAAGTGTGTGTGTGTATGTGCGCATGCACACACGTGTGCAGAATAAAGAGGCAGAGATGCTCCATTGTAGGTGTGATGGCTCAGTGGACTTCTGACAACCCATCACCCTAGTAGCTGGTTCAGGTCCATACATGCTGTAGTTACTGCAGTTACAACAGATGGAAAGTGGTTATGCGTACAGCTGATCCCAGAGACATTTTTGTCCTCAAATGCACCACATTCTGTGGCCTGGATCCTGAAGACCCTGAGGCACAGTTTGTGCAGTATTCCACAAGTAACTTTTAAACTGGGCTTCTAGGAAGCCATGAAGCACCTCTGCCAATCCCAGTGGCTGAGGTCATGCTGCTAGCCAGAGGAGCTTAGCCTGGCTTAGCATATGGTGTCCTCCAGCTCCTGAAGCATCCTGATGCCTCAGGAGGTCCCTCCTGAACGTTTTTTTCCTTTTCCTTTTCCTTTTGGAGTGAAGGTGGTTGCTGCTTTGTTTCAGGGAAGGTGGGGATAGGCAGCTGAGCAGGCTGGACGTGAGGCCAGTCCACGCAGAAGCAGTTTTGTAATTGCAGCTCAGCCATCTCCCTTTGCAAGCTCAGCCTCTGCCAAGGAGCTCTTTTCCGCGCGCGGGGGGGGGAGGGGGGAACCTTCCCTGCTGGCTCAAGATCTCTTGCTGACTCCTGCAGATCCTCGGAAGGAGCCTCAGAGCTGACTGTGCCGCGGGGTGGCAGTGCAGGCTACAAAGCCTGAGCTGCCCTTCTGAAGGCTCCAGGCAGAACCTCCACCTTCCGGAAGGGCGAAAGTGAGATGCCTCCCAGAGCGTCTGCAGAGGGCAAATGACAAAATGAAAGTGGCAACCTTGTGACATAACATGCCCCCCTCCTGCGCCTTGGGTGTGTGCTGTGAGGGACCTAAGGGGAAGGGCTTGTGCTACAAGACCGTGATGCTCATCTGGCCTTTCCGATGAAACTGCTGGATTCTGCAGGTGCCTCTGTCTTTGCGGTGCACCCGAGTTCCTCTTTCCAGAGGAAATTAGACCAACCAAGAGTTGCATCATCGCTTCCCTTACTTAGTTTACTCTCTCACTTTTGGACCTCTAGACCCGGAAGGACCCGGGAGGCCTCCTGTCCCCCTGTGGGAATGTAAGAGGGGACCGGCTCAGCAGACCCCTGCCTGGAGGCAGCCCAGGAACAGGGTCCCGAGGGGCTCGGGGTCTCCTCTCTCACAGAACCACCTTCCAGCCCAGGGGCTCTCCCTTCTTGCTGAAACAGCAAGTTCTGGGGGTCTTCCTCTGCCAGGGAGGGAGGGCCTCCCATTCCCCTTGTGAGGAAGTGCAACTCAGCCTGGGGAAACGCTCCAGCATCCTAGAAATCAGCCGACCCTGGGAAAATTCCACACTTTCCCCCACCAGCCAAGAGCAGGGCCAGAGCTTTGCAGGGAGGGTTCCTGCTGTGGAAAGGGGGGGGGCACCTGCCCAAACTCTCCCTTCTTCTGCCAGGAAGGCCCCTCCCCAACGTGTCCTCTGGACATCTGTCGGAGGTTTAGAGGCTCAGTGGGCGTGTGCTGGGAGGAGGCAGGTTGGTTGGCTGCCCAGCCCCTTTCAGGAGAGCCCTGGCCCTAATCTCGGAGTGGCAGAGCCTGGGAAGTGCCCTGGATTGGGGGGCAGAACTTTCAGCTCTGGCGCAGCTGCAGGAAGCTTTGCGGGTTTCTGGGTTGTTGGCAGCCGGAAGCAGGGATGAGCTTTGCCTGCAAAGGATCCCCCTTAGAGATGCCTGGCAGGGCGAGAGAAACGCTGGGCTTCTTGCATCAGCTGATGGGGACACCTCCCTTTTGTGTACAGAATTCCAGGGATCAAGCCCACCAACCCAGTGGGGTAGGCGGAGCAAGAGGACAGCAATCCAGGAAAGAGGGTAACCTAGATTCACACACATCACCCTAGATGATGGTGGTTTCTTAAACCCTAGCTTAGCGCACCATTTGAACGTAACCACTTGGTTATGTGACACGTTGCTACTTGCTGACATTGGAATCGTCACCAGAGCTGTCTGAAGTGCACAGGAAGGAAGTGGTTGAAATATGTTTGCCTAACATGGCTTCTTCAGCTCTCTGGGTTTAATACAAGTACACATCAAGCTGTGATCTTCTAGCAAAGCTCATCTCCATAACTTTTGTCCTAATCAGGTGGGGAATGGACTTCCAAATAGAATCGATGCAATACTTGAAACTATTTATGTGCAAGAAAGAACCCGGGGCGCATGACTGAACCGGGTCCAGCTCCCCAGGAGCCCTCCATGGACTTAGTGGTCCGGTTCCTGGGGCTGGTCCTCAGGCAGTTGGCAAGCCTTCCCGGAGTATTCTTGGGAAGGGCCCAACACTGGCTCTTGGAAAAACACCCACCTTCTAGGCAGAGCCAGGCAGAGGCTCAGATTCACCCTCTGCAGCACACAACAGGCAGGAGGGGGGGAGAGAGGAAAAGACACACATGTGGAGCTCTGGAAACCCAGATGTCCTTGGTAACAAAATTTTATTGTCATGATTGAAGACAAGATTTATAAATGTACTCTAGCAACTTGTTGATAAAATAGCAAGTATCCCACATTTGTAGTTTATTGTCATTTGGAACAGAATGGGAAACTAGGAAAGGGTTATGATGTCCGTGACATTTGGACCTTCCGCACCACTTTGGCGGTGGCGGCAGCAGCAGCAGCAGCAGCAGCAGCAGCAGGTCCACCAGGTCCACCGTGTGCCCAACACCCCCGGGGAGACCAGCATCCAAGATGAAAAGAAGAGGAGAGCGGTGGAAAGCAGTGCACGCGTTTCAAAGCCCACAAAACAGCCACCATGGTTGAAGTCTCTGAGGAAAAGAGGGTCTCCGCTGGCCGTAGCCAGAGAGGAGGTCAGCGTACCAGCAGGCTATGCTTGGGGCCATCCACCCTTTCCAGCTTCTCAAAGTGTTTCCTGGCATTTCGGATGTTTATCAGTGTTGCTGCAGAAGCTGGAAAAGAGGACCGAGGAGGTGAGACCATCCGCATGACCGGGTGGGTCTGGGACAGGAAGGGCAGGCCTCCTTCCAGAAGACCCTCCAGCACAGCAACCCAGCCTAGGTGAAACAAACCTCCTCCAGAGTGCCACTGCCACAGGCAGCCCCCCGGAGGTCAGCCTGACCAAGAACAGCCCTGCTCTCCAACTTACGGATGGAAGGGTCTGACATGACGACCATCACGTAGGTGTTGGATGTGAAGATGTCAATGAAGTCAGCAAAGTTGGAATTCCTGACCTCCATGCTCTGGAAAGATGCAGCCAACTTACTGGGGGGGGGGGAGAGAAAGGAGGGGAGAATGTTAATTGCTTCATCCCAAACAGCCCCCTTACTCTTCAGGCCTCCCTCCCCAACATTACTCTGATGACGCAGAGGCCTTTGCTTGTTCACGAACTCCAGGGAAAGGCAGCCCCACCCCAATGAAAGGCCTCCTTCTGTCAGTCAAGAACAGCTGAGATAAAATGGGCTCCAGGACTCCCATGGGGTCCATGAGAACTGCAATGGACATCAGTGGTAAAAGAGCAGAACACGGGCTGGGCTGCCCAGTGGGCGCAGGGAGTGGATCTTTCCAGAAGGCAGCCTCTCTCTCTTGCCTGCCGAGTCTCCGCTTTCTCTAGGCAGAAACGAGCCCCGCCCAGCCTGGCGGGTCTGGAGGCCACCCGGTGCCCCTGGCCGACACAGAGGGAGATCTCCTGGAACGGATCCTCCGGGACAGACCTGTGCTCTCACCTGCAGCTCAGCTTGAACTGCTTAATGATGTTGCTGATTTTCTCAAAGCGGTGAATGTCCCGCTGCTCTTTGCACTGGTAGTGCGAAATGACCTGTGAGAGGAGGCACGAACGCATCAGGCCGGCTTTCTGAGCCGAGCAACAATTCAGCCGAGGACCAAACTCCCAGCCAGGAGAAAGATGAAGCATCCAAGCCGTGCTGGGCCTTCAGGGGCCCAAGAGGGCATTCCCCAGGCCCAATCCATACTCACCAACCATTGTGGCGGAGCCACGGAGGACAGATAGATTCCTCATCCCAAGCTTGTATGGAGGAGCTTTACCACCCAGTAGAGCTGTGCACCATGGTTCTCCGAGCGGCCACAGAGAACCAGAGTCCAAGCTATGCCCACTATCAGAATGGATGGAGGCCTATTCTCGCAAGGGGACATCCTGGCTTCCACTTTTGGAAACCAGAGCAAGACATGTGGGAGGCTTGGAGGGCCCCTCCCCCGCCCGTGCCCAGGGTGGGCTCCATTCTTGGAGACTAGTCCATCTTCCTGCTCACCAAAAATGTGGCTCTTTCAAACAGAAGAACTTCATCAGCTTCAATGATCTGAGCAAAATTCCTGAGGTTCGTTTCCAGCTGCTGAACATTAGGAATAAGCTGGTAGACTATGCTGGACCACGCCTGCCAAAGAGGAAGCACAGAAGACAGCTGAACTCTTGTCCCATCCTGAGACCGACCCAAAGTGAAGAGGGCAGCAAGACTCTCCTCTGGGCAGTCAGCAAATGGAGGAAACCGCCCTTTAGAAGGAAGAGACTCGCCTCCGGACAAAACAGCCCAATTTTCATCTCTGCTACCCTCAGCCCAGAGGGATTTGAGAAGCTATTGATGAGGCAGGAGCATTACCTACTGCTCACAAACTGAAAACCCCACTTTTACAGTCTGTAGATAAGCGAGGATCTGAACCCAGGGCTTCCTCCAGCTCACGGCTTATAACTTGGTCATGATTAGCAACCATGATGGCACAGAACCACAAACCTTGTAGAGGGTCTCATCCCAGATGGACGTTCTGAAGCAAGAGCATTCCAAAGGGCGGGACAACCGCTTTAAATCCTCTTCCCGTTCCTTGAAAATCTAATAAAAACAAACAAAAGACGACAAATTCCCCCAGTCAATATAAGCATCGCCAATGAAGCTGCCCTCTTTGAGAGAGAGGATCATAGTCATCTCAGCAAGGCCACCACTGCTGGGAAAAGGGGACAAACTGGAAAGGCCTCAGCAAGAAATCTACAAAGGAAAAGGGAAAAAATTCCAGAATTTTTGATTAAAAATGGAGTCAGGCCTATGCACCCACAGTTGCCTGCCAGACTCAGGGGGTTCTGCAGTTGGAGAGCCTGTGTCATCTGCAGACTCCCATTGCACCCTCAGCTGTTGGTAGAGGCAACAGACATTTTGGCAAAGCCTAAAAATGGAAAAGCAGCAGTTTCTGAAAGAGGAAAGCTTAGATGCTTTAGCAAGTGGAGCCGCAGTAACCCCACCAGGTGCAGCAGTGCACACCCAGAGTGAAAACCAGGAGGGAGGATGGCCTTGTTACCCCCCAAAGGCTACAGATCCTGCCAGAGCTCTTTGACCGAAAGCGATGCCTCCCGTTTTATTTGGAGGCTGACCCTCACCAGATCACGCTGGTCCTCCTGGACTAAATCCATTTTGTGGACAAGGCAGAAAATCTTGGCATCGGGAGAATTCTGGAGAATGGCCTCCAGGCAGGACTGATAGTAGTGCATGTCTTTCTCCAGCTCTCTGCTCTCCACATCAAAGACATAAATAAGGACCTCCACATTGCGAAAGATGTTGTCGCGCTGACTGGTGAAGTAGTTCTCCATGAAGGTGTCCTGGCTGGAAGGAGAAGAGCCACCCTCAAAGACCAAGTCAGACAGAAAGAGGAAGAGAGGAGCTCTCGGCTGGGGACACACTCCTGGGGGAGGAGGGGGGATCCCTTCCCCATACCCAGATAAGAGAGCTGATTCTGCTCTGATCTACCAGTTCTGAACTCCCCGGAGATCTTAGTTGCGCTTTCCTGGGGCCGTGGGCACCCTTCCTCCTGGAAGTGCCCTTGGACCCAAAAGTAGGGGAAGGGCAGACAAAATAATTACCCGCCACAGTCCCAAAGGTTTAATACCAGGTTGCCCAGAAACCGAACATGTGAATGCTCCACGTCAACTGGAGAAAAAGATAAGAAATGAATTACAGAGATGTGAAACCATCCCCAGCAGAAGGAACCTGGGGTAAAGCACAGAACAGCAGGTTTGCTGAACAATCATGGCCTGTTGAATGAACCCCAGTTGCTCGAGTCCACGCAAGCACCACGCTCTAGGTCTAAGCCAAAGAAAGCAGCTGTTGCAGGCGGGNCCCGCGGCCTGGGCCGGCTCGCCGGAGGCTCCCTTCGGCCGCCGCGGCCTTCCCCGGACGGGACGCCGGCACGGCTGGCTCAGCGGCCTCTTCCGCGGGCGGGGTGGCCCTGGGCAGGTGCGGAACCGGGGCGGGCGGGCAACCCCACCTGTGTTCGGGACTTGCCCTGCGGCCGAGGGGCGCGGGGGCAGCGGCCTCTCCGCGTCGTCGTCCTGCTCCCGGAAGGCCTCACAGCCCCAGCCTCGCGTAGGTCGCTCGCCCGGCTCCGGACAGCCCAACCCACCGCGGCACCTCGGGACAGTCACGTGAGCCGCGCCGCCGCCGCGCCGGAGACTCCGCCCTCCTTCGGTCAGGTGATGTAACGCGACGCGCCGACCACAGAGGCAGCAGCGCCTAGAGCGACCTTCCCGCGCGAAGCCTCAGGAGCCATGCTTCTTGAGGGTGCCGTGCTCTCCGGAGCCCTGCCGGGGAAGGCAGTTATGCGCGAAGGGAGTGACGGTTCCCCGTGGCAGCAAGGCCGGGCTTGCTGTTCGCATGCGAAGGACATTTCGGGGATTTCGAAGCCCAGATTGGTGTTCTCTTTGTAGGCCCGCAGGCGGCACCATGGGTACACTCTCCGCAGAGGGAGGCTTCAGTAAGGGCGGAACTCCCCAGGCCGCGCCAGATGGGGCGATCTGGCAGCGTTGCTACCATCGCGTCCCATATGGTCTAGCGGTTAGGATTCCTGGTTTTCACCCAGGCGGCCCGGGTTCGACTCCCGGTATGGGAAGACGTGACTTTTTTTTTTTTTTTGTGCTCTACCGCCGGGGGATCGGGCAGCCGCCCCCCTCGGAAGCGCCAGCTCTGCTCCTTGAGAGCCGGGCGCAGGGCCAGGTCCCAGCGCGCTTCCTCACCAGGGACTAGCCCCTTGGCCGACAGGGCAGCCGTGGGGAACAGCTGCCTGGAGGCCTTTCCCCTTTCGGCGATTGGACGGCGCGGTTCCGCGGGGCGGGGCTTCGGGAAGAAAATGCACCTGCGGGGCTGCCTGGGGCAGAGGGGCGATGGCGGCGGCGGCGGCGGCGGCGGCGGGGCGAGGTGAGCGCCGGGGGGGGGAGCCGGGCTCTTTGCCCTCGTCTCGCTTCTCTTCCCCCGGCCAAGCTCGCATCTTTGGGATGCTCGCGGACGCTGCGCTGATCCTCCTGGAGGGAAGCGAAGCCGAGGCGGCAAAGAGACCGGGCGAGAGCCCCGACTCCGGGCCAGGGGGGGGGGGAGGGGGTCCTGGACGACCTCCGCTTCTGAACGCCCTGAAACGTCCCGTTTGCCCCCCGGCAGGGCCGGCCCGCGACTCCCTGGAGGCCTTCTTGCTGGAGTTTGACCACGCGGTCCGGGACTTGGAGCCCAGGGCCGCCTCTGCTCGGCATGAGCCGCCCCCGGAGGCTTTGAGGAAGCGGGCCCAGGGCAGCCTCCGTGACAGCGGCATCGAGGACTCGGACGGTGAGCGCCCGCTTCTCCTTCCTCCCAGGGAGGGGAGATCCTCTCGCTTCGGCTCCCCTCCGGTTTGGGGGTGCTGCGCCCGGGACTGTGGAAAGCGCCCTGCTCTGCTTCTTGCCCTCGGCCTGGCTGCACAACCCTGGAGAAGCGCGGACCCTTCCCAAGTTGCTTCTCTCCTTTTGCTGCTGAAGGCAGCAACCATCCGAGAGGCGCACGAGCCCAATACATGATTAAATGTGCTTTTTTCACTTCCCCTGACTGGTCCTGCTGATGAGCTGCTACCTCCTCGGCTTCCTCTCCAAGCATTTGCTGAAGAGAGCCGCCCTGGACTGGGGAGGGGAGGGGGTCGCGGGGAGGGGGAACAAAGGGCCACCAGTTGAGGCAGCGTTTCTCTTTGCTTTCCCTGCAGGCAAAAGCATTTCTCCCAGCAGCAGCCTGAACAGCAGCGAGGAGGACCTCCGTGCTGGTGTGGCTTCTTCCGAGACTCCTGGCTCCACAGGTACAACTTGGGAGTCCAAGGGGAGAGGATGTGGGCAAACGGAGGGGAGCTGCCTGTGTTTACGTTTGTGGACCAGAAACAACAATTTGGGATTCTTTTATTGTCCCTAGAGAGGCCAAGTCCCCAACTGGAGTCAGAACAGACCCCTCCGGACCCATTAGACTCCTTGGGATGTCTCCCTCTCCCTCTCTCCCCCCCCCCCTCTGTCCACCCTCCCTCCCTCCTAAGTCTCCAGTTCCACCAGCCTGTGTGGACCTTCACAACTAAGAGAAAATAAACACCACCGTGACTGAAAGTTTTGTTTGGCTTTTTCCCCCCTTTTGGTATTGCTGAGATCCAATTATTCCAATCTTTAACTTACTCTGATCTTTGATTCAATCAAGATTTGTTAGGCTGAGGAAACTGACAAGCTAACACATCTTATCTTGTAGCTAAGCTTGGTGACACCCTTGAACTGGAAGCATTCATTGCAGACCTGGACCAAATCCTGAAAGGTAGGTCTGGGGCTTGTAGGAAGAAGCCCAAAGGATCCCCCCCCCCCCCGCACATCATGCTTCTGCCTTTGCCAGCAGGGGCTTCTGGAGAGCCCCTCAGGGCAGAAACGGTGGTGCAGCTGGCACAGATGCCTTTGCAGAATCTCTGGGCTTTAAGTGCTCACTTGGGTCAGTTCACGCTGAGGTCGGTGACTGGGGAAGCTTTCCAAACCCTCTTGGAGGATTACCGGCCTGGGTATCAGCAGACTCTGTGCCTCTGGCTGATGCAGAGCAGGCTGGGAGGGGCCCAAGGCAGAAGTTCTGGAAGGTTTAGCCCAAGTATTCCTTTCTTGTAGAAATGTGACCAGCTTTCCTCCTGTGCTCTTCAAGATGAAAATCTGCCTGCTGATGTCTTGCTGAATGGACCCCAGCCTTTTTGGCCTGGGAGAAGACCCCCACCAAGATTCCTGATGCATCAGCTCTGACTGCCCCCAAAGCCAGCCTACTTTGCACCTGGCTTCTCTGCAGGGAAGGGATCACAGCTGTTTCCCAAATACTTTTGTGCTAGAAGTCAAAGCAGAAAGTCTGAATCCCAAAGACTGTTCTGCCATTGGATTTATTTTTGAAATTCCACTTTGAGAAGAAAGCCGGATTACTTTTTGGATTACTTTTTGAAATGCGTGTGCTTCTCAAGAGACTTTCTCCTCGCCCTTTGCTTCATTGTGACAGGCTGTGTGGAGGGGAAGGAGACCCAAAGAGTCTCCTTGGGAGCTGAAGCCCCAACAGGACGCTGCTCTGTTCCCTCTGCCCGGGCTGGCTCTGCTACAGAAGAATGGCCTGTACAGGGCAGGGGAGTGCAGCAACCCTCTGGCCTGGGGGGGGGGGCTCCCAGCTTCTTGAGGGGGGGGCTATTGATGTGGAGGGGAAAACCTGGCTAGGGGAATGTCTGTTCAGTTGCTGGACTGCCAAGAGCAGCCTTCTCTTTGCTGAGTTCTGAGGGGGCTCTGATCATCAGAGAGGCTGCATTTCTCTCTGCACGGAGCCCCCGAAAGGCCACTTGGCAGAGAAGAGGGGAGGGCCCCACTTTTCTCCCAGGTGGTGGGTAGGGAGAGGTTGGAGGTGGAGGAGGGCCTTGTAAGTTTCATCAGAGGAGCCAAGTTGTGCCAGGGGATTGGAGATTTATTGGCTCTTGTTTTTATTTTTTGTATAATGCTATTCTATGGTTGTGAGTCTCCCAGAGTTCAATTACAATAATAATAATAATAGTAAGGTTGGAAGGGACCTTGGAGGTCATCTAGTCCAACCCCCTGCTCAGGCAGGAAACCTTATACCATATTCTAGTTTTAAGATGAATGGCTGTATTTTAAATATTTGAAATAATTGTAAATCAAATGCTATTGTTTTTGTGGATTTTGCTGTAGAGGAGTTCCTACCGGACCACCTTAGGCAATGAAATAAATGCCCACAACAGAAATGAAAAATAGGCATGTATCTAAAGGTTTGTAAGGTTGAATAAAAGGAAATTCTTTGCTCTTTGCGCTTAATGCTGCCTTTAATTCTCTGCTCCGAGAGCTTTTCTGGCTTGCTGGCCTGTGGCACCCATTTCTGCGATCACGATGCCTTCCGCGCTGATGCCAGAGCCCCGGCCGGCTGCTGCTCCTCCGCGACCGAGCCCAAGATGCCGCAGCAGCGCGTGGGAGGACGGGGAAGGGAGCAGCGCGGCTCGGAGCGCCTCTCCCTGGAGGCGAGCCGCTTCCTCAGCCCGCGGACTGCGCCGAACAACTCCGGCTTTCCGGGCGCCCCGCTCGCGCTCGTGGCAAGGGGAGCAGAGCGCTTGCAACCTGCCGAAGCCCGAGCGTGGGGCGGACGGGTGGCTTCCGGGTCTGTCCTCTCTCAGCAAACGGGAGGGAGGGAGGGGCGGGGGCCCAGGCTGCTCGTGCTCCGGCCGCAAGGAAGAAGGTGGCCGAGGTTCTTCGCGCCCGGCCTCAGTGGCTTCAGCCTCAAGAGACGGTTGCTTAGAATCGGTTTGCAGGTGAGCTGCAGAGGAAGGAGGAGGCAGTTGCCTGGAGCGTCGCCCCTGACTCCCTTCCTTCAAAAGTTCTAGGGCTGAAGACTGCAAGCGGCCAAGCCCCAGAACACCACCTCTTCGCGGGCGAAACCTCCCACCCTCCCCGGGGCTGCACGGAGCCACTGCCAAAGGGAGAAGCCCATGGCTGACACTTGTAGCATCCTGGGGAAGAACCAGCTCTTCTCTGAATCCTGGATCGCCCAGTTTTCCTGCTGAGAACTGGGAAGGTGAACACAAACCCAAATTCCTTTCTGCTGGGGGAGGGAAGTCCCTGGTCAGGATCCAGAGACTGAGGTGGCTAGCCCCACAGAGACCTCTCTCTGTAGGGTTTTTTTTCCCTCCTGTCCAAGCAAAGAATGGCTTTCAAGGATATCTAAGGAATAATCCATTCAGGTACTTTGCCCCCTGCCTCTGGTAAAAAGGCTCCTGCTGGCCCCAGGCTCAGTCTGTAGTCATAACAGACCCCTAGGACCAGAAAAAAATTGGATTTTTAAAAAACAAATGAAAAATCTCCCAGGCATTTTTCAAAAGTGTCACACAGTTTGTTAGATCTCTGAGGTAGGGTCTCTGTTCTGTGGGCCTTCCACATTATCCCAAATGTGCCGTGTTCAAACTCACAAGGGCTACAAGTTTCAAAGGAAGAAGACATAATGGCCAGTTCATGCATAATGCTAAACCATGATTGTAGAATAAACCATGAGTGGCTGATTAACTGAAGTACTCAGCCCAAAAACATGGTTTCTAAATCACCACGCTGGCAGCCACATCTCTTGGCAAGCACTTCTCAGCCTTGGCCCCAGTGGATTGCCATCCGGATGATTCCGGTGTGGGCACTCAGGACATAGGCCCCCGTCCATCTGTCTGTCCGTCCCTGAGGTGATTCTCCAGGGGCTGGCCTGGTGCTGCCTCCTCCAGATCACAGAGCGGCTGAGGCACAGGCAAGTGAGCTCCCAGCCCCATCTTCCCTTGGGGCACAATCCTGCCCTGCTGGGGCTGTGTCCCTTTGAGGAGAACCTGGCTCCTCAGCTCCAATTAGCCCACAGTCAAAATAGGGCTCTTCCTGCCAACTTCCCCCTATCTTCTGTGCACATGGCTGCCTGCTCAGCTACACCCATGGCTGCCTGGGGTCTTATCATGGCTAGTGAGTATTGAGAGCCAACCGTCTCCCTGGCTTGGCAGGTAG